CGAGTATTAACTTTATCGGAGTACACCTATGCCCTATATGTAATACCGAGCTAATTACAATCATACATATATTGGTTAATAAAAAAAAATTGTCTAAAAACCTTTGTATCTAAAAAAAAAAAATTCCGTTTTTCTTATAGGTATATCAAGCGGCAAAAGATCAACTGATGTAATAAATTTTTATTTGGTAAAATCGAATTCCAATGTATCGATTTTCTAAACGTGATTTAAGTTAAAATCAAAATATTAATAAAAAAATTCAAATTTTACTTGGAAAATTAAGCAAATTTAAATATAAATAATACCAACATTTAAAATCTAATATATATAAGAAAGAAAGAAAGAAAGAAAGAAAGAAAGAAAGAAAGAAAGAAAGAAAGAAAGAAAGAAAGAAAGAAAGAAAGAAAGAAAGAAAGAAAGAAAGAAAGAAAGAAAGAAAGAAAGAAAGAAAGAAAGAAAGAAAGAAAGAAAGAAAGAAAGAATTTATCATCCAGTTTTTCAACAGGCATCGAATTTTAAAAACATCCGCTAAAAAATGAAACTGGGGTTCGAACTTGCGCCTCCTAATGCGGGATGTACGGTCTCTCAGAGAATTTCACTTGTAATTTGTGTACAGTTGAGGTTGACTCAAATAGTTACCATCCTCAGACATGTTAACAATTAATTTTATTTAAAAATAGGGTATAAAATTGTAAATATCGCATCATTTTATTGGAATATGGGTGAATTTCATCGTGTAGATGTTGATTAAAGCGGATTGAATCAAATTTTCTCACTTCCCTCATGGTGTAGTCGATTTCTTATCTGTGATTGTATATTAGATACAAAATTATTCTCGATCCCCCAAACCAGCTCAGCCTCAGAAAAAAAATATAATCTGCTTTTGGGAAAAACTCATAGGGTTTGATTTGTACGAAACCCTATTTCCACCAGATTAATAGCGAAATGTTTGCAATACCAATAGCACCGATATTCAGCTAGATTTGGCAATAAGATGTCAGGTTTAAACGATTGCTTAGCCTATGTAGAATGATAAAGTCGGTTGAAAGATAAAAAAAACGTTAAGAAAAATTTAAAAAGAAATTACCATGAATATGATGAATATTCCCAAGAAAAAATGAATAATTTTTCCATGGAAAATTTCCTGTTCACGTGTATTTACCAGATGCTTACATCACTATACTCTTTGGCAATTTCTTTTTTCTTAACCTTCCATCTAAAATCATCTATCAATCACTTATGTATTTTCCTTTCCAGAGTCATCTAGCATGCACTAAAGATCTCAATATTTCTCATCATTCCCAACATTTTAGGTTGCCCTGGTTTATAAAATATCTTAACACGCCTTTTTTCTAATAAATTCGTTGCTTATAAACGTAATATGCTTGATCGGTTTTAAACTTATATCATCGCATTTCGATCTTTTCGCGACGGATGTGACGCAAATTACGAAGTGGGGGGGGGGGGGCGAGCGGTTAGAGATGCCTCCAGTCCGTAATTTTTTTTTCTTCTAAGATTTGAAAAAATGTCATTCGAATGACATAAATTTTCGAAGAGGAGAGGTGAAAATTACTTTAAAACCCTTTTCAAACAAAACCAATGACGTATAATAATACCTAGACTGACGATGCATTCATTATAAGTGTACCATCAATGAAAAACAGCTGGGAACGCCATTTTGGTTACTCATATGATTATTAAAAATTTTACCCGAGAGGGACAAATTTATTCCTATGTCTTGACGCAGAACTTTATTGAAGAATTGCCTTATCATCGAGATAAATAAGGAAGCAAGTTATCGATTTAAATAGTAGTTTTTAACACACGAGAATAATTACTATACGGGTTACCAAAATGGCGGGTCCAGCTGATTCGCATTCAACGACGCTTTCGTCAGTCTAGGTATTATTATATGTCATTGCGCAAAACCGAGCTTAAGATGTTAAAAAAAATACATTTCGGTATTATTTATGCATTCTACAAATTTATAAAAAATACTTTTTGACTCGCGTGGAAAAATTATCGTGGGCTCATCTGATTTCATTTATTACAAATTTCTGGGAAGAAATATATTGCAGTATATATTTCCGTTCACTTGGTGGCATAGCCAGGATATATTTTTTTTTGGAGGGGAGAAGGTGGGTGGGAGGCTTCGCCTCCAAACTTCGTTTTACCCGGCCCAGCATAACATTAATACAAACCTAGTCTAACTACTATCATTTCAAAAGTTTAACATACATATGTAAGTCAGCCGTAGAGTCATTGTCAATGGCTATGGTAGTCGCCATTGAAAAGTTTTTTTTTCCGTCTTTGTCAAGCTTGTCAAACGACATTAAAAATATGGGTTTTAAAATGGTTCCTAGTTTAAATTCTCATTATTTTTTTGGTTCTTATGAGCTCAATTTTCAGTTTATATGAGTTTCGAATTTCAAAGAATTAATTATCATATTCTTATATATATATATATTATATATGTATATTGTATGTAAAAGTTGACCCTTTTATTTAATAATGGAGAAAAAAAAACACAAAATTAATAGAAAATTAAGTTGTACATATGTATAAATATAAAAACATATTTTAAATTTATAGAAAATCTTTTTTATTTTTTTAAAAAAAAAATAAGTAATATTTTAAATGATGGCAAATCAATTATCTATAAATAAATAAAATTTTAAAAACCGGTAACTGGGTTCTTATTCGCTCCTTTCAAAAGTCGGTTATGGTTAAAACACGGATTCAACGTTTTATCTCGGTTTTGAGGTAAGGGTCGGTTAAACCCCTAATTTCAATAAATTTATCACGTGTTCAAAATCATGTTTTTTTTTTGTTCTTGTTTAGAAATCTTCATAATCGTTAGTTTAATATCTTTGTCAAAATATTGAAAGGATTGTATAAGTAAAGTAAGTCACTATAACTAGGGGAAATTTTTTAAATATTATTTTTAATATTATTTATTTTTTAAAAATAAATATGCCATAATGCGGCCATTAGCTGAAGATTTTTTTTTAAAATTAAAATTCCCCTTTTTTTTATGGATTCTCATAATTTTGAATACAAGAGATCACGAGATTATTAATCACGTGTGTTGTTATATAATAGAGTCAAATTGGATACTATATAAAATGCATGCAGCATCTTTATATAGTAAGAATTCTCAACAACATATTCAAGCAAGTTATTATTTAAGTTTTTTTTTTTTAAAAAATGATATAAATTAAATATAGAACCAATTTTTTTGTTTTTTTTTGTCCTTAAAAAATATATCTTTATCTATATTATAATTTGTATATATATATATATATTATGGTTTATTCGAATAAATTTGCTTAATTATTCTAGTATTTGAATAGTTCCTAACTTAGTTTTGTGTCCAATATAACAAACGCCCTTTTAAAAATTTAAAAAATATGTTTTTAGTTCTAAAAAATGACGCAAAAAATTTACCTGCCCGACCCCGGCCCGAATTTATTTAAAATATATAAATTAATTTTTTATAATTTACTCAAAATAAAAGACATATGTTATGTGACATCTAGTTTCTATGAATAAAATCAAATATTTTTATTTTACATTTCGATCATAAAATAGATAAATTTATATATTTTTAAAAAAATTTCCAATGCCCGACCAGACCCTGCACAAATTTTTTTAAATCTACTTTTGCGGATCTCTAATGTACAAGCCATTTTTAATGTAAAATCAAAGAAATTGTGAAAATTTTCACAAAATGTTATACAATTCCTTAAAACTTTTGACGTAATTAAAATATCTTAATTATTATTACATCAAAAAAATTTCCATTAATTAATTATTTTTTTAATTTAAAAAAAAAATAATCTTAAAAATTTCCCCTATAATCTCAGTGACTTACCCGAAGGATTAAGGGATATGTTTTAATATCTCCTTGACAGTAAGGAGGATAAATGCATCACCACCCTTTCAAATCATAGTGGATTCGGGATCTAAAACTTTGTTCTACTAGAACTAAAGTTCTGACTTAATCTTAGAGTCATTAAAAAATTATTGGGACAAAATCATTCTGATGACAAATAACTCCAAGAATTTCGAATAGTATATTAGGCGTTTACCCGTTTCCACAACTGTAGTTGCACATCTGTATTTTTTTTAAAATATTTTGTTGTAAACAGACTTGACATGTTTATTGAAATAAAATGATTTTTTTTTTAAAAAATTTATTTATGTATATGTTTTATATAAAAATTATTTATTTATCATTTTAAAAAAAAAAAAGGTTTAAGAATGCTAAAAATAAAAATTATAAATTTGCGGGAAATAGGTCTGCGCGCGCTGAAGAAAATATTACGCTAGACTATCGCTGACTGGGAGGAGGGCCTGGCAACCCTGCCATACAAATTCATTACGCGTGTAAGATGAATGTAAAAAAAAATATCTTTAAACTTTAAAAGGCCAAACCCATACGTTTAAAATACAAAGAGTTTCATGCATTTAATTTATGTCTCACAAGGAAAATAAAATTAAAAATAAAAGTTATAATTCCAATTTATATTGTGTTAATATTTAAAAATTTTGTATTTCTAATTAAAAAATTATCGAAAATTTGATTTTGTATTTTTGTAAAGTTATTTTAAAATATTATCAATTTATATTTTGTAAAATAAAATAAAATGTGAAAAAAAAATAAAAAATAAATAATAAACCAATTATAAAAAATAAAAAGAAAATAAACACAAAAATAAAATAACATTTAAAAAAAATAAAAATTAAGTATGTAACCAAGTTATTTTAATGGGAAAAAATAAATTTTTAATCTTCACGTCATAAATTAAAAAATAGTGATAAATCCATATTGTTCTTCTCTAACTATTAAATAATTTAATTACATTTTTAATTTTTAAAATTTTTAATATAAAAAAAAAAATCTAATTATACTTCGCTATCGTTAAATAATATCATTCATTTTCTCTGTTGACGAATTTCCTATTTAAACTCAATTTGAGGACCAGCAAAAATTTTCTCTCAAAGCCAACAACAAACTCAAGTTTAAAAAATAAAGTTTTCTGCTACTCGAAAAGAAAGCCAGACAGACAGAACGATCAAGAAATTGATAAGAAAGACAGAAAGAAGATTGAAAGTACGAATTATGATAGATAGAAAGAAAGAAAGAAAGAAAGAAAGAAAGAAAGAAAAACGAGTTTAGCGAGTTGTAAGTGTAACACGGAATTGTCAAAACTCGTTATTGTGTTTATATTTTACTTTCAGTTCATTGATGGAGGGGGGGGGGGTCACCTGGTTTACATATTGATCCTGACCCCAAACCGTTTTTGTAATATCAATTTATAAAGGAAGAAATAAAATTTGACAATATTTTAAATATATCGAAAATAAGACAAAAATTACTAATATTTTAAATTTTCTAACTTCATTTTATATGAATTTAATGGTAGCTGTTGTTAAAAACGGCTCGATTTGAGCCCTATTTTTAAAAACGGCTAACTCAATATTTTAGCCAGAAAAATATTGTCTAAGCTTCGAGGCTTCACTAATAGATGTCATAAATCTTTATATGCTCTTCAAGTCTTGGGTAATATTTTTCTGGCTAAAATATTGAGTTAGCCGTTTTTAAGAATCGGCTCAAATCTCAGCCGTACACTGTATAAATTATGATTTGTTGTTAAAACATTTCCATATTATTTGTAACAACTTTTCTTTTAAAAATAAATTTCTTTTACTTATACTGTGTAAAATTTATATTATTTTTTATCTTTAAAATGTTATCAAATATGTTATTTTATCACAATAAATTATACAGCAAGTAATAAAATAATTTTAATAAGAAAATTGAATTACAAAATATATGGAAATTGTTTTACAACAAAATCAAATGCAGTTTTGCAACTTATTATTTTTTTTTGAGTAAAATTTGATGAACAATTTGTAAAGCAAAAATAAACTGCATAAGTAAAATCGAAATTTAATATGAGAAGTTCTCAGTCTTCGCACTCTGCCAAGCACTATCCCCACATATATATATATATTTATATATATAACCCGTCTTGATAGGTAGACTTACAGTGTAAATTTCTATACGTAGTATTTCCCCAACCGTTTTGTCAATATAATATGTAATATATATAAAAGGAAATTAAAGGGAAATGATTCAGATACCTTCGGACGTTCAAATTCCCGCATCCCCACCACCGTGTTTGGCGAGCAATAATGGGCAAGATGAATCCCAAAATGATTTCTGCGAAGATGTTGTTAGCCAGAATCAAAATGGAATCCATAATATGGTAATTTATACAATTTTTTTAAAAAAAAATTAAGACAATATATATATTATGAGCGTTTTAGCTTTAACGATTTCAGCAAAACAAACCCACTGATGCGACTTCTTTGCGTTCCCGGTCTGTCAAACGTCGATCCCATTAAGAAATGATATTAATAATTCATATTTTTACCAGAGTTGTTGAAGTATCTAGATCCTGTATCTAGATATAAAAATGTGGTATCTGTATCTAGATAGATTTTTGATTAAAATATCGGTATCTAGATATTATTTTAGACGATGTATCTGTATCTAGATCCATTTAAAAAGTATCTTTTAACAACTCTGATATTTACGTTACAATAAAGCCGGGTTTAAAATTGTTTCTTAATAAAACGTGGAGGTTTGGGAGAGGAGTGGGGGTAGCGGGTGTGGTATAACTGTTTACTAACATATTATATACAGTAAAAAATAAGGGGGGGGGGGGGTTATAACTACAATTATATTATTTTAATAATGAATAATTAATAAATAATGTACTCCCCTCCCTCAACCAAAAAAAGTACAAAAAATTTTTGGTAAAAATATACGCATTCCTCTTGATGATGATGAATGATTTGATAACGAAACCTTCCATAAAATCTCCATTCTTATATAATGAAATCGGATGATTTTTTTTAAAAAAAATTTGATGGATCTCAGATGTTTTGCTATACAAAGAAAACAAGCAAACCACATATATTCCTATCTCTATCCGATTAAAGAATAGAATGTAGATAACTTTCTAATTATGATAAAACATAAATTTCAATATTACTGTAGATATATATATTAGTGATCTGTATCGGGCCTAATTTTTCAAGCCCGGCCCGGCCCGAATATATTTAAATATAGAAATTAATTCTTAAAATTTACTCAAAGTAAACGATATTATGTTATATTGCGTCTACTACTTTCTATAAATAAAATCACGTAATTTTACATAAAAAATTCAACATAAATTTAGATATATTTTAAAAAAATTTTAAAGCCGGACCTACTTTTGCAGATTTCTAATGTATATACCGCTTTAAAAACTAAATGCATTTTTCAAAAAAAAAAAATCAATAAATAACTTTAAAATTTTGGATTAAAATCAATCGTATGATTTTTTTTTAGCTCAGATGTTTTAAAATGTTTTAAATATCAAAATATAAAAAAAACTTTCTTTATGGCAACAACCTCTTTTCTTTTCTTTGTGGCAAGGAGAATAATAATTTTATGTATAATAAATTTCTTATAGTTTCGTACTTATAGTTCACCACAATTAAGATTTAAAAGGGGAATTTTTTTTTTCTAAAAAAAAACATATGATTTAGAAAACACACCCTCTTTTCTTATAATTGTTTAGCAACATCTGATAAGGTTTACACCATGCTTCATAAATCTTCAAAAGTTTTAAAAAAGAAAAAACACGTGATTTAGAAACACACCCTCATTTCTTATAATTATAATAATCATATTGGCAAAATCTGATAAAGGTTACCATGCTTCATAAATATTCAAAAGTTTAAAAAACGAAAAAAAAAACATATGATTCAAATCCTCTTTTCTTATAATATAATATCAGATTGGCAAAATCTGATAAAGGTTTGCCATGCGTCATAAATCTGCTTCAATTTAAAACAGAAAAAACATATGATTTACAAACACACCTCCCTTCTTCTTATATATAATAATCATATTTGCAAAACATGCTTCATAAATATTCAAAAGTTTAAAAAACGAAAAAACACATGATTATGAAACAAACCATCATTTCTTATAATTATAATAATCATATTGGCAAAATCTGATAAGGTTACCATGCTTCATAAATCTTCAAAAGTTTAAAAAACGAAAAACATATGATTTAGAAACACACCCTCTTTTCTTATAATTTTAATAATCATATTTGCAAAATCTGATAGAGGTCACCATGCTTCATAAATATTCAAAAGTTTAAAAAACGCAAAAAAACATATGATTTAGTAACATCAGATTGGCAAAATCTGATAAAGGTTTGCCATGCGTCATAAATCTGCTTCAATTTAAAACAGAAAAAAACATATGATTTAGAAACACACCTCTCTTTTTCTTATATAATCATAGTTGCAAAACATGCTTCATAAATATTCAAAAGTTTAAAAAACGCAAAAAAACATATGATTTAGAAACAAACCCTCTTTTCGATTGGCAAAATCTGATAAAGGTTTACCGTGCGTCATAAATCTGCTTCAAAAAATAGAAAAAAACATATGATTTAGAAACGCACACCCTCTTTTCTTATAATTATAATAATCATATTTGCAAAATCTAATTAAGGTTTTCTATGTGTCATAAACCTGTTTCAATAAGTTTTAAAATTTCGAAGAAGTAATGTGTAAGGCCCTAATTTATTTTTTTTTGGTTTTTCGATGAAAGTTTTTCTGAAATAATTTTTTTTTGATGTTTTGGACACAGTCTTAAACAACTTTGATCATATTTTTAATCAACGGACTGTCTTTTGGGTCTTTAAGACTTGGGCATTTATTATGTAAATTTTAATGTTGTTGTTATTAAAAAATGGCATAAACATTTTATTTTTTTTGAAATAGGGTTATATATAAATTAGGGTTCATACTTTTTTTTGAACGAAAGAAAGAAAGATTTAGAAATTTTAATGAAATCACGTTCGAATTTACAAACAAATTTACAAAGGATGGGACCAGATATTTTGTTTAATTTATATGATATGCCTTTTTCTCAGTCGATGGCGTTTGTTTTATCAAGTTTGAATCATTGTTTGAGCTTTATTTAAATTTAAAAATAATGTGATTTTTTTTTTATTGAAAAATGTATTTCGGGATTACGTATGTAGTGTAGTGTTGTTAAACGGTGGTTCGTTTTGAGTCGAATTTTACAGACGGCTTAACTCAATAGTTTATTCAGAAAAAATGTTACGCACGCTTGAAGATTTTGCTCATAGAAGGAACGAAGTTCTATAGCCATATATTATCTTAATCTCGAGGATTAGGCGAATATTTTTCTGGCTAAAATATTGAGTTAGCCGTTTTAAAAAATCGACATCAAAACGAACCCTTTAACAATACTAGATATATGTAAATAACCTTACTTTGTTATGCCATAAAATTTTTAAATCTAATTATAATTTATATTAGTGTTTTCCAGAGTTGTTAAAGAATCTAGATACAAGTATCTAGATCCTGTATCTAGATATAAAAATGTGGTATCTGTATCTAGATAAATTTTTGATTAAAATATCTGTATCTAGATATTATTTTAGACGATGTATCTGTATCTAGATCCATTTAAAAAGTATCTTTTAACAACTGTTTTCCGTCTATAAATTGAGCCTTTCAAAGGCTGCGTTGCAAGCGCAAATAATGCATTTCAAAATGGCCTCTTGCTAAATTGGTAAAAATTAGCTTTTGGCATTAACAACGATTTTTTTAAAAAAAACCCCAAAATAGGTTTGCTTTTTGCATTACTTTTTTTTATTCTTAGCTTTTATAATATTATATAAAAATGTAATATAAATAAGTTACTTATAATCCTAAAAAGGAATATTTAGAAATTGTAGATATAAGAGGAATATTTGGAAATTAAGGAAATAAGAACGCAGACGAAAGGAAGTATTTAGAAATTAAAGAAATAAGAAAGCAGACAATAATATAATTTTCATAAATCCTTTTTTTTTAGAAACTTGTTTATAATTTAGAATTGACGATATTAATAAAAACGAAAGGGACGTAATTATAAAATTACGGCAAAACGTAAAAGGCTCAATTTGTGCGCACTATTAATACTCAAAAAATTGAGGACCAAAATTGTGCGAAAATTCTTAGCATACGCGATTCTAACCCCCCCACCTCCCATGATAGAGTAACATCCCTGCAAAAATTAGATATACAACCCCTCAAAGAAATGATTTTAAAAAGCTAAATTAAAAAAAATTAAATAAAAAACATATCCACGGGGAAAAACAAACATAGTCGTTTATAAATAATTAACGTATATATTTAAAAAATAAATTTATCCGAATGAGATTAACTTTATAATATTTAGCTCAGGGGGTGTGTGAACTAGTATTGTTATAAAGCCCGAGTTTGGTCTACTTTTCAAAATGGTCCGATTAAGCTTTCTGCTAAACTAATATTATATAAGCATCGAAATTTGGCAATCAGATGCCCAAGCATTTCTGCCAGCAATGAGAAAAATCTTTAGACTTACATAATGTTATGGTTATGATCTTAATTGGGCCGTATTTTAAAATCGACCTGAATAGGGCTTCTTAACAACACTAGTGCGAGTCTGAACGGGTTCAAGAATTTTCGAATTCTGTTTAGTTGGAAATTTTGACAGGAAACAGGAACTTAATCGAAACCGATTTCCCTAAGAGGGGTCTGAACCTGCCCCAGGCCCATATTACCCCGGGTTCGATGAGTTATTCTTAAATCGGTCTCTGATTTCAAAATGCCCGGCCAAACAATTTTAAATTTTTTCACGAAGCCGGGTTTGGGTTCACATCCCTGATTTATCTAAATTTTAAAAAAAGATAAAAACGCGTTATTATAATTAGGTAACCATGTCCAAGCGAGCGGGGAACTGCATTAATCCTATTCGTGTCATCTTGGAAAATTTGTCTATCCAACCGAATCCCTGCAAACCTCTAGTATCTTTGTCGCAAGGTTTATATGCATCAATAATAAAAAAAAAAATTTTTTTTTTATTTTGTACTACTCATTCATTAGGCGCCTTTATTCAAAAAAAAAAGAAGAATATTCTTATAACGAATCGAATAATTCGCTATTCGTTTTCGATTTAGAATTATTCGAGAAATTGGTATAAAAATAATTCGTATACGAAATAAGATTGACCAAATTTTCATGCAGGCCCGCCCTGGGTCGGGCTGTGCCGTAATTTAATTTTTATAAATTTATCCGGGCCGGGCCTGAAAATTTTTTAAAAAATATATCAGGGCCGGGCCGGATATTTTAAAACCAAATATTTAAAATCGCCATTATTACCGGGCCAAAAATTTTTAAAATATATCCGGGCCGGATATTTTAAAACCAAATATTTAAAATCGCCATTATTACCGGGCCGGGCCGGATATTTTAAAACCAAATATTTAAAATCGCCATTATTACCGGGCCAAAAAATTTAAAAAATATATCAGGGCCGGGCCGATATTTAAAACCAAATATTGAAATCGCCATTATTACCGGGCCAAAAATTTTTTTAAAAAATATCCAGACCTAACCGTACAAATGGTGCCTCTGCAGGTCTCTTATATATATATATATGTATATAAATTTTAAACAGAATAAATTATAATAAAAATCTAATAATTAGAAGAAACACGAGGTCAAACTGTTTGCGAAAAATTAAAATATTTCATATTAATTTTAAATTTATACAATTTGCCAAAAACCAATTGTTTTTAAAGGTAAAAAAAAAGTTAAAAGTTTTTTTTTAAAAAATTGTTTCTTAAACAGGGGTTTCAGAATGTCTATCTTATTTGTATTTATTTTGTCTTACTAATTTTAACTTGAGGCTTTATATTAACATAATAATAATAATAATAATAAAAGTTATAAATAGAATATTCGATCAGATAATTCGAATAAAACTAACTCGCCGAATAAATAAATCTCATTCGTCGTATATTCAAATAAATTCAAATAATTTTTTTATTTCGAATAGAATTATTCGTATTCGAAAAAACGAATAATTTACTATTCGTATTCGTTACTATTCGATTCGTTTTTGAATAGGCCTACTCTATATATATATATATATATCAGAGACCTATAAGCCTGACCCTAAGCCCGACACCGGGCCATAAATTTTAAATCCAAATATCATAAATCGCCGTTATTGGCAAATAAAAACTTAAAAATAAATATAATATATTTACAAAAAATCCGGGCCGGACCTGAAAATATAAAATTTTGAGAAAAAAACCGCGTCTGGGTCGGACCATGCAAATGGTACCTTCTGCAGGTCTCTGTAACCTAGAAAGACTCCGTGAAATTATCCAATATGATATTCATGAAATTAAAATCATAAAATATTGCAGCAACCAGCATAACACCGAAACTGAGGATAGTCTTCGGTTAACGGTTTTGTTGTTTTTTGGAATCGTTCTAAAACGAAAAATAAAATGGAGATATTGTTCGACTATATGAATAACTTAATAACGAAGCTGTGCTGGGAAATTTGATTTTTTTTACGATTATAGAAAAACGCCTATTTCCTTTCGCCTTTGTGATTAAGCTAATTTTTCAATAATTTCATATATAGGGACCAGCAGAGGTACCATTTGCAGGCTCGGTCCAACCCCAAAAATTTTTTCAGCCCAGCACGGGTTTTTGATGGCGATTTCAAATATTTGGTTTTAAAATATTCGGCCCTGCTCGGATATTTTTTTAAATAAAATTTTTAGGCCCGGCCCGGTAAATTTAAAAAAAATTAAAATACGGCCATAAGGTATGCAGAATATATTCCTTTTTGGGAAAATGGCTAATAAGCATTCAGAGATTAAAAAATTAAATATAATTTTTAGTATATACGACAAGGATAATACTTTTTTGATTTGTATTGCACGATAGATCGGCTAATTTTGGATATTATTTTGACTTTTAAAATTATCCAAAGAGTGAGATTTAAAAGATTTATTTTATTATATTCCTCTATTGATTCCTACATTAATATTTGGAACGGTAGTGGACTTGTCTTGGTCCAGGGAACAAGTCCGGGCATGCGAAAAATTAATTAGTTAAGATATAACCATCAGCCCCAAATATGTTAAATACCATATTGCCAATTTTTTCAAAATTTGGATTTTAGAAACAAATGTAATTTAATTCAACATTTTTCAAAGGTGATCCATCTCTCTACAATCTATTCCCGATCCACGATGAAATGAAAGAAGCCGTCATAAACACTGTCAAAAGTGGGAAATTCAACTCCTACATTCCTTCAGCTGGTTAAATCAATTTTTTTAAAAATTTTCCTTCCTTCCTTCCTTCCTTCCTTCCTTCCTTCCTTCCTTTTCCTCTCTTTTAATACATATATTTTTTATAATTTTAAGGACTCGAATCAGCTAGGCAAGCCATAGCCAATCAATATATCGAGCAGGGAATCAAGATCGATTGGAAAGTATTATAAATATAATGCCAACATTAGTTCTCACGTAGCATTTTTTTTTATGAGTTGACCGGATAAAGATTGTTTAAATGTTATTTTTTTATTACTGGGATCCCCAACCTAAACCGTTAAAAACCGATATTAATCTATCTATTATTTACCGACACCCGAACTTAAACCGAACTTCCGTAAATAGCCATAAACCGGGTCCGAACCTTTTGATATTTTTAACTCTTTTTAAAAATACGATTAATAATCAATTTTTGATTATTAAAATTTATTAGTTATAATTTGTAAGATATTATTTCTATATCGCATTTGACGGTGTCAGCCAATAGCGTCACTAGGGGGAGGGTGGTAGGCGCACAGAAACTCATGCCCCCTTTGAAAAATTCGAGGTCATTTTCATAAATAGCACAAAAATAGTAATTAGTTCTTTGAACCCCAACCTCCCCCTACCTCTCTTTTCCGGGATTGTAAAGACTAGTGACGCCAACGGTGTTAGCAACCCAAATTATAGTAATAGAACTTTTCTTTTCAGTTCTAATGATTTATTCTTCCTTCTTTTAGATATTATTCGATAGAAGAGAATCTTGAAAAAAAATATTATTAACACGGCTCAATTATTTTTTATAGAGAATATTAAACATGATCCCAATATGCTTATATGCGAAAAGGATTTTAACCGGTTTTTGTTCAAACCGAGCCGATATATTATTTTTTACGGACCGTACCGGAAACATGAACCGTTATTTTTTTAGCTAAACTCGACCCGAACCTATAAATGGTTACGGTTTTTCGAATCCCTATTTTTTTTATATCCATTTTATTTATTTTAATAAACCATTTTTTTTCCTTTTGATTACGTGAACACCGATTCTCCGATATTCAAATATTAAGAGAGGAAAAAAAAAATCTCAATCTTGTGATTGGTCAATATTTTTAATCTAATCATATATTTTTTTTGAAAAATTTTCCTTTTTTTTACAAAAAAGAACGTTTTTTTGACAACCGGATGTACCCAGGCCCTATTATGGTCCATTGAATGTTTAGCCGATAAGGGAGACAATATACTTATACCAAAGCCCTGTTTTCCTATATACAAAACTTTCGCTTCAATGAATGGAATCGAATATCGGGATTACGATCTTCTGGTATATATTTATTTTATATATAAAGAAGATGGATCATATTTTTAAGATTAAATATATCCGGGCCGGGCCTGAAAATATAAAACCCGGGATCGAGCGAATGGTACCTCTACGGGTCTCTATTTGCAAATTAAATTAGCCGGCCACTGAATCGACTATGCTATTCACGCTACTCGAAAACATCAATTTTTTTTTGTGTATATAACCGATAAGAATACAACGACGATATCCAATTTTTGTCAATGAAAGAAACATATTTTATAAAGAAAAAAGTCAATAACCCTTCGACGCTATTCGCCATTACCCTAATTTTTTAAAAATATTAACCGCCTTGAACCGGTAATATTTTGGGTTGAAACGGGTCGGTTACGACTCTTAAATCGAAGCGATTTAGTTTGATACCACTCCGCTCTGCTTCTCACTTTTTTTTATGGTATTACATATATTTTATTAAAGAGTTGTATGGGTGTCAATCATGTATAATAATACCGAGAGTGTGGATTCATTCATTTAACTGTGTATCAATAGAAATCAGCTGGTGTAGCATGCCATAAAACAAAAAAAAATTAGAGTTTCATATATAAATAAAAAGAAAATTAATTATATAGGAAAGCAACATGGCGTGCCACCAGCTGACTTGTATTCAACGAAGCCTTCAAAACGCATTTTAATGAATAGATCGTTAATCTATAAATATGCTATGTATCATTGATGGTTTTATGGAACTTTATATCATCAACATTTTTTTTAAATAATTGAGTAAATTTTTTTTTTAAAAAACGGGTTATATGAGTATGTTTGATAAAACATTCCATATTATTAAAATTAATGGTAGGGCAATCAAGTTGGGGCCAGAATGGACCATGAATCTTTTTGAAATTTTTTTTATCGTGTTTCTAATAATCTTTCCTTCATAAAATAATTTTGCACATGTTGTCCGTATTAACATATTAAGGAAAACGAAATTTAAATTAGCCCAATTAGCAGCCTTTTTTTTTAAAATTCAAAACTTTGGCACCTGTCAGAAAAGTTTTATTTTTTGCAAATTTCGAACAAGGCAACGTTACACCTCTAATGGTAATGTCGTATATTTAGACCTGTGCGCCGCCGGTTCACGCCGGCGCCTCTGGCAATTTTATTCACGCTGAAACACCGCCGATTGAGATCATTGTTTTATGGCGGCGGCGCGGCGTGTATATTTTTTAGAATGCTGTTTAATTTTAATTTTATATATTAAATTATTATTATTATTTAAATTTGAATATTAACATTAATAAAATTAACATATGAATTGTATTCTTATTGCTATTATATAATAGAATAATGTTTATCATTTACATTCATTCCTAACATCATATTTCATTTCCACAAACAATACATATTAATTATTTTTTTGGACGTTTTAAACCACCCTACCTACAATGAAATAACAACCCTCTCTACTAATCATAAATCAAGTTATTTCTGGAGGTACTTTGGAAATCTTATTTAAAAAAAAATATCCTAAAAATCCTCGAAACTAAAAAAAACTGTCAAAAATTATACGAAATTACAAAAATCAGAAAGCAGAAAAGAAATATAACTGACAAACTAGAGAGCTAAATTTAGAAAAAAAACTTAATCAATGCTCTAATATATAATTAATTAAACACACTAAAATTACACGAATAATTTCTTTATTAATAATTTCCAAACAAAAAAATCTTCAAAATTTCATATATTTAAAATTAATTAAAACTGCGTTTTCGTAATTTTCATATTAAAAAATTAATGAATAATAAAAAAATATATTATTACATATAATTTTTATATCCAATCAACCTTATTTGAATCGGTTGATTGGCATTTCGCGTAAAAAAATAAATGTATTCGTATATACAAATACGACATGCCACCCCTTTATGGGCTCATGGCATATCGGCAGATATAAAACAAAAATAATCTAAAAAAAAACTTACAATATTATTTCGATAATATTTTTACACATAACTTTCTTAAACAGATATGGGGTTGACCCAAAAATCCTCAGTGCCCGCCGTCTGTGGAACACCAGTAGTTAGCGTAGTGGTCACCGCTCTCTGCAATATATCCTCCACACTCGGACCTCATCCATTCAGGGTCTGACCTCGAGCGTTAAAATGGCGAATATTGAGAGAATGTCTATCCATGTCCCTATCCGGCCTTGAGGGAATTGGGTCTATTGGCTGTCCCACCTCTAAATCGTGATGCGAGCGTTTTCGTCCTTCATTGATTCCCACTCGCGGGTTTTCGGATAGCACTTCTAAGGGTACGCGAGTCCCCCGGGATGACCGGGAACACTGATGCCGCAAATTATTTTTACACATACCTTTCTTAAACAGACATGGGGTTGACCCAAAAATCCTCAGTGCCCGCCGTCTGTGGAACACCAGTAGTTAGCGTAGTGGTCACCGCTCTCTGCAATATATCCTCCACATTCGGACCTCGGGATCCATGATCCCTGAAGTGCGACGCCGAAGGTGTTACAACTGCCAGGAGGTGGGACATCATTGTAATTTTTAAATATACATCTAAAACTTTTAGAGCATGATAGAAATGCACAGAATGAGATTCAAGTTGAAGATAATGGGCATGCGTAGTTCTTATATAGACAAAATAGCTCATAAAAATTCCTTTCCTAACAACATTAATAATCTAGAACAAGAATGCCATATTTTGCTCAGCCAACATAATATCGCAGAAGATAATGCACATTAACCTTTTGGAAGAAAAACGACGGAAAATTCCTAGCCTTGCTAATTTAGCTTAGAAAGGTTCTTTGTATACCTGCAACCAGTACGCCCAGCGAAAGAATTTTTTCCATTGCTGGATTAATATTCCATGCAAAAAGGACTTTTTATGTTCCACGAATCTTGATAAAATACTACTTATTCATGGCAATTATAATTTTGATGAGTCTGAATTCTGATTTATTATATTTCATATTTTATATTTTGCATGCATTCCAAATTTATATTTTAATTTTTTATAATAAATATCATTAGAATATTGCTAATATGTGTTGACGATCTGAGTAAAAATGCAATTCCATAGTCTTTTTCTGAGAATGAGAAAATAATTTAAATTGGAGTGAGACAGGAAATAATCTCAGAAATGAATTAAACTTTGTTAACAATGTGTTAGAAAAGAGTGCCCAAATAAATTATAAAAAAATTTTATATACTTTGATTTATAAATTTAAAATTTTTTTAAAATAAATATCGCTCCGCCGACAATAAAAAATTACGCCGCTGTCGATTAAGACATCGGCGCACAGGTCTACGTATATTCCTACTTTATTCAAAAGTTATTCTACCAAGATCTAAAGTTTTAAATCTATCAAGAAATTTTGGGTGTGTATTAATTTTTTGTTAAAAAAAATTTAATTCCCGTTTTTGGAGTTTTTGGAGTAGATATAACACAGTTGCTAGTTTTATATCATAAATTATCTGTTATGTAATTTGTATACAAACTAAACCATGGCCTATATAGCTAGTTTGTAAAAAACTAAGATATGTTAGCACTTTAGTTCGTAACCATATCAATTAATCAATAATTAATTTAAAAGCCTCAAAATTGTTGGGAAATTAATCTGGATCATTTAGAATCCCTGATAGACTCCAAGACGAAAGCCGTAATTATTAACAATCCTTCGAACCCGTGCGGGTCTGTATATTCCAAGAAACACCTTCTAAGTTTCCTCAAGATAGTATCTAAATATAATATACCAGTGATATCGGACGAGGTCTACGCTCATTTTGTAAGAATAAAATTTATTATCTATCTATCTATCTTATCTATCTATCTATCTATATTCCTAGTGGAAATTTTGGAACAATAAAACATGGGGGGGGGGGGTTAATGTGTAACTTTATAATTTAAGGTGAGAAACTCTAATCGTAACTTTTACATCGTTTGTACGTTTAGAGGTAGCCGAGATATTTTTTTTTTACAAGTGTCCAGTCCAGAGAGCTGTCAATTCCTTGTAAAATTACGATGTTTAAGGTTAGAGATTCCGAATTAAAATTCTCAGGGGAAAGTTTAGTATGTTTGTGCCCATTATTTCGTATATACCCTTTAAATCCTATTTTTCCCTATGTTGCGATATCGAAACAAGTGTCATTTTTTTTTGGACCTCGTAAACCTTCCATTTCAATATTAAATGTAATTAACTCCTATTCTCCTCGATGACTGATCTCTTTTACATATTTAGTTGCCATTTTTTTTTATACGTTTGTTAAAATCTGTTCTGGAACCATCTCCTCGAATTTTAAAACGATTTCCGGTTCAAATTTCTTCCCAAATTTGTTCCTGGTTCATGTTCTGTTTCCGGTTTACAAATTTTTTTATACTTTTAAATTACCACGTGCACTCGTAAAATAATGTTTGTTCTTCGCGCTTTTTACCTCTGATGTCTCCTAAGTATATTATTCGTAAGTTTACAATTACTTTGTAGTAATACCGAATTTCGTAAAAAATTTGAAAGGGGTCTAGAGAATCACTTGTTCGAAAGGAAGGGAAGAGAATTGGAGAAGTAAGGTAACTTCAGCAGGTTATAGTTTTTTTTATTTGTTATGGGTGGGTGGGGGGTGGGGGTGTCCTATACTTGTTTTGAAAATATTTTGAACTTTATTTGATAAATAAATATATTTTTGTAAAATATAAGGTATTTCCTGGTCAAACGTATCATTCCATTGCCGATCTAACTTCCACCGTGCCAATTATAATGTGCAATTCGTTAAGCAAACGGTTTAATTTCATTTTTGTTATCTCTTGATTTTTATTTTTCTAAATTTATACCATACTTAATACCTCTTCCATATTCATTTTCATTATTCTTTATTACATTTTTTTATTTATGCGGCACCAACTGTCAAAACTCACAAAGACTCAAAAAGGATCTACGAAAACGAAACAAAGAAAACTTACCCAATCAAATATATATATAAAAAAACTCCCTAACTTACAGAAAGACCTTCTTACTAATTCTTAGACTTGGTAAAATTTCCACAACAGATGATTACAAACGGTTTTTATTTAAAATACTCAAATTATTTAAAATGATAAAAATCATTTATTATTTGAAAAAAGAATTTTCATCGTAAAAAAAAATAATGAATGTAAAAAAAAATATATATCAAAAATCAAAGTTTTAATGATTGACATTTTTTTAATATACATAAAAAAAATGTTATAATTTACTACATGCCACCCCTTTATGGGCGCATGGCATGAATATAAAAAAAATAATAATAAGATATTACTACAAAATTTTCGATGTACTAACACTAATACTATAGAATTCAATAATGTATTATGATACTAATAGGGGTGTTAATCATTTTAATGATATTGGAAAGTTTTTTTTTCGTGCATGGGTGGCGTTAAGGAATGTTCGTGAATCAGTATAATTTTTTTTGTAAATATGCTTATAAGATGGAAAGTTTTGGTTTTTATGGTCATATTCGTAATAATTCAATATGCCCAGGTTTGGGGTTCAGTTTGATTAAAATTATAGTTCAATTTTGACAGGTTCATTAAAAGTTTTTTTTTATCATTTTAATGATATTGGAAAGTTTTTTTTTCGTGCATGGGTGGAGTTAAGGAATGTTCGTGAATCAGTATAATTTTTTTTGTAGATATGCTTGTAAGATGGAAAGTTTTTGTTTTTAAATGTTATTTTAAAAAAAATGGTTTGTCGTGTGTTATCTGTTTTTACAGTCAGATGACTGTTTTAATGAAGAAGAAGATTTTTATGATATTGGTAAGGTTGGTGGATATTTTTGTTTAAAAGAAAAAATTGTTTTGTCTGGCCAGTTGCCAGGGTAGGTGACAGTTTTGTTTAAAAAATAAAATTTTTTTAAATTATTAGTCTGTTAGAAAGGAAAAGAATAAGAAAAGTTTATGAATAAACATGTGTGTGCCTCATCTAGTTTACATCCCATAAGTCGGAGTGAGAATAAATTATTTTGAAATTGTCGTTTTTTTTTGTTAGTAATTATTTTTTTTAATTGCATCAATGTACACACTATATATATGCCTTTCTTTTTGGTGTATCCTCATTAAAGTTTTTTAAAATAAAATTTGTTAATTTAAATATTTTTTTTTAAAATTAAAATAGTTTTTTTTTCTTCCAAAGTTGTTTCCCATCCGTGTTGAATATAAAAAAAAATAAATATTATAATCCATTTCTGGGTCGACACCCCTTCATCCGATTGATAATACTCGCTAGCCGCCCAAATAATATTAGACATGGAGACAAACAGTCAGTGGAGATTCTCGCCCCCCCCCCTCACTACTATAAATACCAATTCTCTGGGCCAGTCTGCGGGGAATACCAACAGAAGGATGCGCGAACAGATGCAGATCCCACTGTCGCTCCCTAGCACACATTCAGCTCCATCGGCGAACAGAGGAAATTTAACGCGAACATCCAATGATAGTTCCAGTCTCTCGTCAACGCCGCCGGAGGAGGATTTTCTCAGAAGAGCTATGACTACTATCGTTGAAACCGCCCCGTGCACTTCGGGATCCCAGATATTGTTACAAAATAACAACGCGATTGAATTGTGGGAAAACCAATTATTACTACCTTGATGTCGCCCATAAAATGTCTTCATCATAACACCCCTATTAGTATCATAGTACATTATTGAATTCTATAGTATTAGTGTTAGTACATCGAAAATTTTGTAGTAATATCTTATTATTATTTTTTTTATATTCATGCCATGCGCCCATAAAGGGGTGGCATGTAGTAAATTATAACATTTTTTTTATGTATATTAAAAAAATGTCAATCATTAAAACTTTGATTTTTGATATATATTTTTTTTTACTATTCATTATTTTTTTTTACGATGATAGATTCTTTTTTCAAATAAAAAAATGATTTTTATGATTTTAAATAATTTGATTATTTTAAATAAAAACCGTTTGTAATCATCTGTTGTGGAAATTTTACCAAGTCTAAGAATTAGTAAGAAGGTCTTTCTGTAAGTTAGGGAGTTTTTTTTTATATATATTTGATTGGGTAAGTTTTCTTTGTTTTGTTTTCGTAGTTCCTTTTTAGAGTTTTGACAGTTGGTGCCGTGTATTCATTTTCATTATTCTTTATTACATTTTTTTATATTTGCAATAGTTATTAGCTTACGATTATTACTGATACAGATTTTATAAAGGGCCAATCATATTTCAGCATCGAATTGATATTGGCTAATCCGATATCAAATTAATGTTGGCCTAATATCTAATGGATTGACCAACCAAACTATTTTATAATACATATAAGAAAAATTTCAAAAATGTTATATTACTATTAAACAACCTCAAAGCAAACGTTTATAGTTTTATAAAAGGTCCTCTGAGATCCCTACAATCCAACAAATACAGATCGGCCTTTTAGAGTTTACATCGACAGATACTTCTATTAATCTACATATACATATATTTACTCTTAATTTATAAATCATTGTTAACCAGATACATCGTACCCGGTTGGAGAATTGGATGGGTGGCCATTTATGACCCCCTTCATTGCTTGGGCCAAGTAATAATTTTCTCTTCCTCACATTTTCACAATCTACTGTACTATTAAATTAATTTTCAATTGTTTATATTAAAATATATTCTATTATATTTTACTGATAAACAGGTCCAAGAGGGTATAAACCGGTTTTGCCAAGCCAGTTTTGGCGTTAACTCCATGATACAAGCGTCGTTACCTTTAATATTAACCAAAACCCCCGATTCCTACTTTCAAAACGCTGTCCAATTAGCCTACGTAAGACCCGATAAAATATTTCGCTTTTTTCCTGATATGTCACATCAATTTGGCATTTATTTAGCTAGAGATTGCTACTGTAAAACTTCTGAGAGAAAGGGTATATGAGTGAGAGCATATATCTTCAAATAAAATTTATTCTAAAGTGACGATCATCTAAATGCAGAATTTATCTAGGGAATTGTTGTTATAATAACCTTTTCGCGCTCGGAATATTTCCCATGGACAAAAAATACTTGTACTTTGATAAAATAAAATAATGATTTTGACATTTTGATATAATAAAATAATGATTTTGACAGGTTAATGATAAAATACGAAATAACAAATATTGTTTTATAATTTAATATCTCTAAGTACCAACCATTAGTTTCTTTACATATAAAAATTAATTGATTAAAAATTTTGATGACAAATGATCTCGCTGGGTGCGAAGGGGATAAATAGTAATTGTGTCAATATATCGATTAAAAGAAATCGAATAAAACTTGGATGATTGATTCGATTCCTGCGTCGTAAACTTTGATTGGTTCATTTTATATTCTACAAATTTAAATCAAATCGCTTTCGTGTTGTATATCTAAAATAATGTTAAATTTAGAGAATTGTACGCATGTTTAGAATGTCAAAATTAGAAGTTAAATGAATTATCGATTGGTGTGGATTTTCATCCTTCCATATTAGACTGACTGCATTCATAATTGTTGCATTTGAAAGCGTCGTTGAATGCAAATCAGCTGGAGCCGCCATTTTGGTAACCCTTATAGTAATTAATTATCCTTATGTTAAAATCTACTATTTAAATTGGTAACTTGTTTCCTTATTGTTTCGATGATCGGGCAAATTCTTTAATAAAGTTTGTGTCAGATAGGAATAAATTGACCTTTCGTTTAAATTTTTTAAATAATAATATGGGTAATCAAAATGGCGTCTCCAGCTGTTTTTCATTGATGTACACTTTTTAGTGAAGGATCTTTAGGTATTATTATATGTCATTGATTGTGGTATCGGAATATAGGATCCATGGGGAATTTTGATTCTTTTGAATTTAAATCAATTTTCTGAGAACATTATTATAAATGTAAAGAATGTGATTTAACTTATACCAGCCCTTGTTGGATTACACCTACCCCATGAATTTCAAACTATCATTAAATTTTGAATATTTGTCTAAAAAAATTAATGTATTGTTTTAAATGTTTACGGCTAAAAATGCCTGAAATTTCAAGATGTGGACACTCTATGAATTCTGGAATATATTTCCGGTCAATCGCTCATAGTGAATGATTTTAAAATTGAAAGGTTCCATGTCCCCAAATACAAGATATATAATAATAAAATTTTTTAACTACTATTATTTATTAATAGGAGAATGCTCAAACAATAACGAACGCTCTCGAAGCCGTTCCAGGTATTAATCCGATATTCCCGCAAGGATCAATGTTCATGATGGTGCGTAAAAATTTTTTTTTAAATATTCTTCTTCTTTGCGAATCCGGAAAAAATGAAAATTTCTTGTCAAGTTAAATTTGAGCGGCAAAAAAAATTATCATCTAGACTTCCGGGATTTTGGGTCAAAAGATATTCACACTTTTCTCGCCTTCTAAACACGAAATCTCCTGACATTTATTAATACTTTTTTTTTGTGTGAAGATCTTGGATTTAGTAAAAAGGGGCATAATCAACATTTTGGGAACAACACTATATGCTATAGAGAGTTTTTAATATGCTCCCTAGTGTTGTTAAATTGCCTTTGGTCAAGCTTTTAGCCTAGCCTCTAAGTTGAGTCTAAACTTGAAGATTGATTCGAATATTTATTTTTTTAAAAATATTCTTCTTCTTTGCGAATCCGGAAAAAAAATAAAATTTCTTGTCAAGTTAGATTTGAGCGGCAAAAAAAATTATCATCTAGGCTTCCGGGATTTTGGGTCAAAAGATATTCACACTTTTCTCGCCTTCTAAACACGAAATCTCCTGACATTTATTAATACTTTTTTTTTGTGTGAAGATCTTGGATTTAGTAAAAAAAAAAGGAAGCTTAATCAACATTTTGGGAACAACACTATATGCTATAGAGAGTTTTTAATATGCTTCCTAGTGTTGTTAAATTGAACTTTAATCAAGCTTTTAGCCTAGCCTCTAAGTTGAGTCTAAACTTGAAGATTGATTCGAATATTTATTTTTTTTAAAAAAAAACATGGATACGCAGTTTTATAGTTAACTAAAGTGTTAGGTAGTTTAACAACGCACACTAATGCTTCCCATAAAAAAATAGGAAATATATATATACATATTTTGGTAAATAGTTTTGGGAGGATTCTAAGTAAAAAAAAATTTTTTTTATGAAATATAAGGGTAATAGTGCGAACAATTTGAACGTTTTAACGCAGCGTTTTAAAACTCATATCAATAATTTAAAATACAAAACGCAAACGTACTCAAATTAAACTAATGCAATTAAAATGCACATTATTTGCGTTTTTAAACGCTTGAATTGTTCAATTTGTGCGCACTATAATGCTCATTTATACAAATATTTTAAATATATTTTCGTTAGGTTCATATAGCCTTGAAATGTTTCCCCGAGTTCAAAAACGAATATGAAATGGTGGAGAGACTCATCCAAGAGGAATCCGTTTTTCCGTTTCCTTCTTCGGTTTAAATAATATATATTTTTTTATTTATTTTTCTAACTCATCATCAACTCTTCCCCAAAATTCCTAGAATCTCAAGACCAATTCCAAATCGACTTAGTTAACCTCATAAAAAAAAAATTCGTAATAAAATACTGAGTACGACTAGCTCGTTTTACCCCGACCATTTAGCCCTGCCCTGATGCAGATCTCTGACATTATAATGAATATTTGTTATATATATTCTTATTTTGAGTATATATAGTAGTAAAGGAGGTGACTGGGTATGTTTAATTATTTTTTGATAGGATAATATTATATTAAACAAATAACATGCAAAATCTATAACTAAAAAAAAATTATCCTAACAATTTTGCTGGATAATATATGACAAGCATGCCAATATCGTGCCAAATTAAGAGATTATATGAGTATTACAATAGTATTTAATTTAAAAAATGTTGTTATTTATATCTAGAGCCCTTCAAACTGATTTTTTTCGTAGCCCAACAAGCTCGACAATGAGCATATCTGTTTAAAAAAGATTTTAAAATATTTTTTTACACTGTTTATTAAATGGGGAAATATAAATTTAATATATATAAAATGATATTTTTTGAGCAAATAAAAGGAACATTAATAAATTATTTATGTGTTATATGGAATAATGTTTTTGAATAATAATGGCAAAGGTTATAAGAATAATTGAAATGAACGAAGTGCCAAAAGTAGGCACATTCAAAACTGTGCTATTTTTGATAATTTATTCTTCATTCCCTTATTTGTAACGATTAGTATTACAATTTAAAGTTATAAAGTCAAAAATTAGTATTATTTTGTTGAATAAAAACAATATTTTAACCACTTTGCCCCTTATGCTTAGCCTACCCTGGCTGAACGTTTTTTTAATATTATTTTATAGGTAATGTGTGGGGCCATGCAAAAATTTATAATTTGTTTTGTCTAAAAAAAATTTTATGATTAAAAATAAATGCAAAATTTTAACCGTTTTACCCCGGTCTCCTTTATATCGCGTATTTTTTTAATAATATTTTCTTGTAAGAAATAAATATAGTAAAACCTGAAAAAAAACCTCTTACATTTTTAAAAACAGCACATAGAAGAGTTTGACCTTTAAAAAAAATATATATATAAATAGTCTTTCATATATTATCTGTTATTTAAAATAAAAAAAATAAGATATTTGGCATAAATGACTACCTCAGAATTTCGTTGATAGTTCCTAAAGATAATGCCATTGTTGCGGCCAAAAGGATGTCCGAATTTTTCAAAAATCATTATAAATTTCATAATTCTTAGGGAAAAAAAATTCCATTTTTAATTCCATTACATTATATATTTAAAATCTTTTTAATCCGTTATGTTTCAAATTTTTCAAAAATCATTATAAATTTTATAATTCATTAGAAAAAATTTTGTTTTTAATTCCATACATATTTATATTTAAAATCTTTTTAAATCCTAAATTTTTAACTATTCCTATCTTCCATAATTTTTTAATTTTTATTATATAAAATTTTAAATCATAAAAGCAATAATTAGAAATTATTTTACCAAAGTTAATTTATTTTTATATCACAATCACTTCATCTCATTTTATTATCGAAAAAAATGTAATAATTTTTAATAAAGGAAATTTATTTTTAAAATTTTGCCTAAAATGATATAAATAGGCTCTCGTTTATTTAGGCTTTTTTATTTAAAAAAACAACTAGTTATATTATCTTTAGAAACAACAAAATCAGCCTATAGTAGGGGAGAAAGTGCATGAATTCTTCTCTTCTCTTCTCTTCTCTTCTCTTCTCTTCTATAGTTTTCCCAATTTAAAATTTTTATAATATTTTACTAAATATTTTTTTCCCTCGTGGTTCATATACGTTCATTCTTAGTCATTCTCATAATAATATAGCTCATCCCATTTGTTCATCTGTAAAGGAAATTTTTTTTATTAGCAGAAAACGTGCTTGAAGTTAAAATATGTAATAACTGAGGTAAGAATAGGATTATAGGTTAGAGAGATATGTGATAGGTATTTACTTAGTAAAAAAAAATGTTAAACAGTGAAAGTAAGGATTAAAACAAATATATATATATAGTAATTAAAGATTAGACCATTTGACCCTTATTAATGATGGGAAGACAAATATAAGAGGATGAATTGTAAATTCTATTATAGCAACCCCAAGCCGAAGTCCCATATTTTATAAATAAATTAAAACAGTAACCAATATGTATGCGGGAGAATATATATCTAATGAATTTATTAAGGTATTTGAAAAAAATAGTAAACAAAAATTTAACAGCATTATAACTTATAATCCTAACAATTTGAAGATAGCATGGATACTTGTAAAAATAATAAATATCCAAGTATGGAAATGCATTAGGTGTGCAGCTCATGGACTTAATTTGTTTCTAACATATAGTAAAAATTTTAGTAACAAAGGCCAAAAGTATTATAAAAATATGTGAAATCCAACATCAATTTTTTATTAACATTTGAGGCAAAACAACTAACAAAATACGATGAGAAAGAAAGAAAAACTTACCAAAATCCAAAATATAAAAATAAGAGAACTTATAGTAAATCAATAAATCAAAAGTACCCGAAAATGAGGGAATTTACACGAAAAATATCAGAACTTTTATATTGTAAAACTTTTTATTCAAATAAATTTGCAAAAATATAATCTTTAATATAAAAAATGTCGAATAAATTTTTATATCAATTTTAATCACAAAAAAATTAATTATATAATATTAAGCATAAAAATTATTTTATAAATTTAATCATAAAAATTAAACATGGTTTTGAAAATTTACGCATAAAAATTAATAATGATAATCATTTTACAAAAACGATGGAAAAAATGATATCCAAAAAATCAGTTATTATTAAAAATGATTGACATTTCTACTAAAGAAAAAAAAATATCGTTGAACTACGACAACAACTACTTAGAGGTAAAAATAATTGTCAAACCCAAATCGTTGGGCAGATATAATTTTGATTATTAATAGCCTCCTTAAAAAAATTTAGCCAGAAATGGTAATAGAGACTTACTCTTCTTCATAATGAAGGTTTTTTAAAATAATTCGGTATTATACATTATAAGAGAGCCATTTCAATACAAATAGATAGTGTGAGTGGAAAAATCCAAGTATTCTTATGTTTCTCAGACATTTAAATCAAAAGATATTTAACAATTACAAAGCAATATCTAGTTTTGTTAAACGGCTCGATTTGAGCCATTTCTAAAATTGGTTAACTTAATATTTTATCTAGAAAAGTATCACACAAGCCTGACGACTCTGTTTATAGATGGCAAATAGTTTATACATCTATTATTATAATCACAAAACTTTTGGAGTATTTTTCAGGCTAAAATATTGAGTTAGCCGTTTTTAAATCGGCTCAATTCGAGTCAATTAATAATACTAGCATAGCAATATCAAATATCTTGTAAAAGCGGAAAATTTATTTGCACCCAAACCTGTATATCTGAAAATTTTATAATTACAAAATTTGTCTTAAAATTATGCTATGGCAGCAAATTATTTATTCATCTTAGACTATCTTAGGTTTGAGACATGCAGCCCTCTAATTTTTTGGGTCTAGTTACTAAGCTCCTATATTTTAGAAAATTCATTCAAATTTTTCTTTGGCCCAATATAAATGTGGTCTACGCTGTGATATTTACCCACCTATTATGCTCTAACAACCCCATGATATAAATTTTATATTCTATAATGAGTCACCCTTTATAATCAAACAATTTTAATAAAACTCTTACAGTCCTCATAAGTCCTAATTATTTAGGCCAGGAATAACAAATAATTATTGTTTGGTGAATCAACTAGTTATTACTTAACATATTTTGGCCATGAGCATGTATTAAGATGCACTAAAATGCTTTATGTGAATATAAATAATTATTAATAAATTTAATTTTTTTTAGCAGTTATATTTTATTTTTACTCTAAAAAGAGTGATTATTTTTACTTTCCTTTGCCCCCCTTTATATGCCTCCCCTTACCCACTTCAAAGTAAAAGGCAGATCGTTTTAACCTTATTAGTATGAATTAAGTTTTATAGTTTAATTTGTTGATGAATTATCCCATGCAATTTTTTTATTTGTATACTAAATTTTTCACTATTCTATTTGTTGCACGTCTGCTAATGTTTATCAATTAATATTTATATCCCTTCATTCATAAAATCAAGCATGGGAATTTTTTCAACTATTAGGACACATTGGAAAAAGTTTACAGCTGCGAATATTGTTCTTATATACGCTGCTAAATATATGCATTACCGATATAAGTTTCAACTAATTAAATATCTTAATATTAATTTTTTTATAGTGAAATGTCATTAATGAAGACTTTCTGTCAAATGTCCCAGGTATAATATTTTATATATTGATTTAATTATGCTCTTTCTTGTTAGAGTAGGCATACGGAGATCAAACAATAAATCCATTTGAAAATTCTAGGCATCTTTATGTTTTCTTGGACGAACAAAATGACAAATACAGAGCAGCCACTAAATCTTATTTTGAAAAATACATGGCACCTATATTTAATTGTGCTGGATTATTGGTTGATGTCATTGATGTAAAATATTGAATTCACTTTATATGATATATTATTTTATTTGATATGAGGTATGTAAATTATGCAAATAAATTTTTTACATCTTTATAAGTATTTTTTTTATTTTCTTAAATTATAAAAATTGATTTTATCAGATTTTGAAATAAGACTAAAAAAGATGCCAATTGTTAATATTTTTATAAAAATGATTCTGATTGTAAATTTAAAAAAGTCTATAGCTCTAGTTCTTAAATTTAAAAGATTCTGAATATCAGGGCTGGAAAAAGCTATAATGGCATTACATTATAGGAACCATTATGTTATATAATGTAATATTCTTATAATTCAACCATTTCATAATGTAAGAGCAACCATTGTTTTGTGTGTATACCATTTAAAAATAATTTTTTAAATATATTTTTTTAATAAAAAATTATTACACATCTGAAAGGGAATTTCTTAATTATATTTGTCAATAGAAAGCAATAAATTATAGTTTGAAATGCATTTCACAATAATAAAAATCCTTAAAACTTCTGAAAGGGAATTTCTTAATTATATTTATCAATAGAAATCAATAAATTATAGTTTGAAATGCATTTCACAATAATAAAAATCCTTAAAATTTTTTTATCTCTGAAGTTATTTTTTTTAGAATGCTTTTACAAGGATATCTGATCAAATTTTAAACTAAAATTTCAAAACTTTTAAAAGTGTATATTTTGTAATTTTAATGCAATTCCTCATTATTCTCTTCAAATTGAAAAAAAAATGGTTTTCATGATGATTTAATAAAATTGTTTTTATTTCTAATATATTTCTGACAAATATTATTTGGGGCAGTTATTTTAAATAAATTTTTAATTTTACTTTACATTAGTAATCTGCATTGGGCCTAATTTTTTTTTAAAATAAAAAATTTGTCTGGCCCAGTTTGACCCCAAGCAAAATTTTTATATTGGTCCTGAAAAGATCGACTCAAAATATAAAAAATAATTATTTTTCCACCCAGTCCAGCCCAAATTTATTTTAATATAGAAAAATTTAATTTTTTTTTTGATCGGTAAAATAAATTAATATTTTGCAATATAAAGAATATTAGCACCTTGTTTCTTGCTAGAATTTTCCAAACATATCAATTTATTATACAAAATGTATTGATATCATATTTAAAAAGATTTAAGCCTGACCTGGCCTGACCCAACATTTTTGTCGGGTTATAGCCAGGCCATGATTTACAGATCTGTAATATGCATAATTTTTCCACGTAAGAACCTTTAGTTCAGTATAAATAGCGCTGCCGCTGCTAATTTTTCCATTCGTTCACAGGTCTAAATATATAATAAAAATTATGAATTCTAGATTTTTCTTTTTGGTTTGCTTCCTTTTTTTTTTTATTAGAACCCAGTCTTTAATATAAATATATATATATATATGTTGTATTCCATATCAAATCAACTGAAGATTCAACCCGACCCTCTTCGGTTTTTTTTTAAATTGGCATAATGGTAGTATATACACTAACTAGCAATAATATTAAATTTTAATTCTCAACTCAGCTTACTTCATGAGATATGGTCATCTTTAGAAACGCGAAAAGTTCAAAATACACCATATTTAATTTTAAATATCTCAAAAAGTAATTAAGCTAAAGGTATAATTTAAACTTTATTAAATAACTCTAGAATAGCCCTTTAATATGATATAAAATTTATTATATTAAAAATAATTTTATTACCAAAAACCGGTAATAGAAAACCGGAAATGGTTATAAAATAAAAATTACACTTTTTTTCCTTTCAAAATTTTTTAACAAATAGACATTGTATATCTTAATATTTGTACAAAATCCTAGATTGGGACCATTACTGGGCCAATAGTTATTACGCTTTAAATATAAATAGTATGGCTTAAATTCTATATTATACGAAATGAGTAATTATTCTTTTAACAAAAGTGATAATATTTGTGAATAATAGTATTTAAACTGAAATCCGAACCCCATCTTAAGATTTATATTCCCCCCCCCCCCAAAAAAAATTCCTTTTTAAATTCGAGATTTTTGACCTGGCAATTCTATGAGTGAATTATGTAGATTATTTTCTTTGCCGGATAAAAAATTATCTTTGTGATCGTCAGAAATATATTTTCATAAAGATTATTTTCTACTTATAATTAATTATCAAATAAAATAATTATCATAAAAATCAAATTCAATTCCAACAGCAACAGCCGTCATTTTTATTGATTAATTTTATAAAGCCATTTTTCTAAGAAAATTAAATTATCGGTATTCATTATCCAATTTATTTTTAATTTAAAATAATTATATAAAATTAATAGCTATCTTTTATTCCTTACCAAAAAAATTTAAATGTCTAGAAAAGTTATTTCTATTCCAGTAAAGTGCTGTAATCCCTTTAGAATAAAATCTCAATCAGTACGTTACGATCTTAGAAATGTTTTACACAATGGATGATAGAAGTGAATTCTAGCTTATCAATTAATCTAAAAATTTGTAGCTCTTGCCGGAAAAAATTAAAAAAATATTCAACATGATCTCACCTTTTACTTCTACGATCCCGATCACATTACCTTCTATTTCTAACTTACCTTCTACCTCAACTATTAATGAAACATTTAGCGATTCTGAACCTGATCAACCATGCAATAATCCCGACTCTTATACAGATTTTAATACTTTAATTTCAACTTTAAATAAAACTTTGCCATTTTTAGGGGAGACACCTATTAAAAAGAAAAGGTTAAATTAAAAAAAATATCCTGTAAATAAATTTTTGAAAATTCAGGGAAAAATTAAAAAAGTTTTTAAAATAAATCTAGAGGATCAAGCAAAAAAAGATGAAGCCGAAATCATAAATCAACTGAAAGAAAAATTTGCTACAAGTTCTCGCAACAATGAAAAAATACAAATTTTAACAGTTTTACCTAAATCTTGGACTCTTGATAAAATTGAAAAGGAATTTTCAACCACAAATTTTATGGCCCGGACAGCTAAACAATTAGTTGAAGAAAAGGGTGTTTTGTCAAACCCAAATATCATAAAACCAAGTAGAATAATTCCGGATGACATTGCAAATAAAGTAATAGAATTTTATAATTCAGACGAAAACAGCAGACTTTTGCCAGGTATGAATAATTTTATATCAATGAAAGTTAATGGTAAAAGGAACCAAGTACAAAAGAGATAGTTTTGTGTAATATGAAAGAATTATTTACCAATTTTAAAGAAATAAACAGTAATATAAAGATAGGTTTTAGCAAGTTTGCTATCATGAGACCAAAAAACTGTATTTTAGCAGGCAGGTCTGGAACGCATGTGCATCTGTACATTTCATCAAAATTTTAAATTAATTATAATTGGGGGTAAATTAAATCAGTTAACTGCAAACCAGCATAACTATCCATTTCCTCCCTTAAAAGATTATAAGCATTACATTGCACAAAGTCTATGCAATCCAGCCCAACCTTGCTGTTACTTAAAGAAATGCCAAATGTGTCCAGGCACTTTGGAACTTAAAGAAAGATTACATTTATTGTTTGATAATAATGTCATAGATTATATAACATTTAAACAATGGTTGGCGGCAGACCGTACCACCCTCGAAACGTTAACTAAGTCCGCCAGCGAATTTGTGGAGTATTTGATTGAAAAATTAAATATTTTAATTCCTCATGCATTTATTTCTTCGGAACAATCTTCATTTTTTAAGTCATTAAAATCGAATTTGAAGGATGGGGAATATCTAATAATATCCGATTTTGCAGAGAACTACGCTTTTTTAGTTCAAGATCACGCTCAAGGCTTCCATTGGACTAATAATCAGGCAACACTTCATCCATTTATGATTGATTACTGCGAAATGTACAGATGCACATTGTATGCGTTCCAGACCTGCCTACTAAAATACACTTTTTTGGTCTCATGATAGCAAACTTGCTGAAACCTATCTTTATATTACTGTTTATTTCTTTAAAATTGGTAAATAATTCTTTTATATTACACAAAACTAATCTCTTTTGTACTCGGTTCCTTTTTCCATTAACTTTCATTGATATAAACTGGCATAAGTCTGCTGCTTTCGTCAGAATTATAAAATTCTATTACTTTATTTGCAATGTCATCGGAATTATTCTACTTGGTTTTATGATATTTGGGTTTGACAAAATACCCTTTTCTTCAAACTAATTGTTTAGCTGTCCGGGCCATAAAATTTGTGGTTGAAAATTCCTTTTCAATTTTATCAAGAGTCCAAGATTTTGGTAAAACTGTTAAAATTCGTATTTTTTCATTGCGAGAACTAGCTAAATAAAGTTATAAATATTTTTACAATTATTTTCTCTCTAAAATAAAATCGCTAAACTTATATGTTAAATATGACATAATGTCTAGTGGGCTCACAGCCCGAATTTATAAAGAAAATATAATCGGCCCGATCATAAAGGAATTTTCTTTTTATTTATTTCGTAAATTACTATATATTTGGTATAATTTATAATTTAAGCCATACTATTTATATTTAAACCATAATAACTATTGGCCAAGTAATGGTCCCAATCTAAAATTTTGTACAAATATTAAGAAGTATAATGTCTATTTGTGAAAAAAAAAATTTGAAAGAAAAAAAAAGAGCAATTTTTATTTATAGCTATTTCCGGTGGATTTTGGTAATAGATTTTTTATTAATAAAATAATTTTTATATCATATTAAAGGGCTATTCTAGAGCTATATTAATAAAATTTAAATCATGCCTTCAGCTTAATTACTTTTTGAGATATTTAAAATTAAATATACTGTATTTTGGAATTTTCGCGTTTCTAAAGATGGCGCTATCTCATGAAGTAAGCCGATTTGAAAAGTAAAATTTTACATTTTTATTAGTTAGTGTATATACTACCAACATACAAATTTTTAAAAAAATCTAAGGGGTCGGGTTGAGAATCGACTTTTTTTGGTTGATTTAATATGGAATACAACATATGTAGTATAAAATTTTTGTCATTTCTTGGATGTCAACAAATAAAGTTATAAAATATCATTTTTTTCAAACATTTTTAACATCGAATTTAAAAAAAAAATAATAAGAAAATACGAGAGGGAGGATGGGTGGTGGATAACTTTTTATAAGAATACTATATAAAAAAAAATAAATACATTTTCTATGAAGAAAAAATTGGGCATCAAACACGGGACAGCGATCCTTAGACCCCTTGGATAATTTTGGCCCTTATTTTGCGACTTCTGAAACCCATGAATTCCAGGTTCTACAGGGAAAGAGAGGGAATGTTGCTGTTCCTTATTCACGAAAAGCTGCCTTTTTTTTAAAAAAAAAAATAAAATAATTTTAGGTTCGTGTCCTAGGTCGGCTTAATTCGGATACTTAATTGCTTTTTTTAGTTATAGGTTAAAAAGTATTTGATCGTAAACACTATGGCTGTGCCGATATTAAATATCGGTATCGGATCGGGTTTTAACCGATATCGGATCGGATCGGGTTTGAACCGATATCGGATCGGATCGGTGAAAAATATGTGGATCGGCAGAGCCCTAGTAAACACCCTATTTAGTTTATTTTTTTAGTGTTTGGTGTTGGACGGTGAGGTGCAAAATTGATGCCAAAATAAGATAGTAAAACTTTTCCAAAAAAAAATAATTGAATATTTTATCAAATGTATTTGTCAAACACAACACAGAGTATCATTACTGATGTATATTTCATATATATTTAAAATAGTAGTTTTAAATAATTATTGATAAATTTAAATAATTATTGATAAATGTCAATCAATAAAACAATTTGTATTTAAAAAAAATAATAGATATTAATCATATTATATTAGATTATTAATTGATGTTGACTTTTTACTTTTTTGTTTGTGGGTTGAATGAAAAAAAAATCGAAATATTTTATAAATTAAAAAGGAAGAAAATTATATTTATACGAAGAATACATTTTAAATAAAGAGATTGAAATGAAATTAATTCAGTAAAAATGAGAAATATTTTAATTACATTTCCGGTATAAATTAATGACATCATAGTTTGCAGCCGATTTCCCAAAAAAAATAAATTTAATTGAAGGGGGTTGGTTTCTGGGTTCGGTGTCGTCTCCTATTTCCGAGGTGTTCTTCTGGTTAAGCTCTCAAAATTTTAATTTAAAACAAAGGTTAATAATTACGTTTACGTATAAATTTAAATAATATTTCTTATTCGAGAAAATTAATTTCTCTCTAGCTCTTCTTTTTTTTTTCGATTTTTTATTATTCGAAGGTTTACGAAGGAGACATAAAATATTATTTGGAAGAAAACTCTTCCCTCAAATCCTTTCTCAAGAATGTCCAAGCGACCGGTGAAACTACTAAAACCCTCACATCGTTTGCGTCTAAAATCTACAAAAACGCTCAAAGCCCACACTCGCCACATTCCACCAAATACTATAAGGACACGGCTGTATTGATACTCGGTAGTCGTCCATTTATTTCGACGGTCATTGATTTCCTACTGACACCGCCACCAATGAACGATGTTCCCGGTGATGCCATCACAAAATTTGAACACCAACTTCAAACTTTCAAATCCAATGTTCAGGTGAGCTGGGTCGATTTTGGAATCCCGGATTACAAGTGGATCAAAACGAGGTACTCGTCCTTCGGCCCACAGTTCCCGTTCTCTCGATTGCCACGCGCACTCGACGAAAACCGCTACTCACATTTATCGAATGTTCGGATAGAACAATCAGCCGACCTCACGAATAAACTGAAAAACCATCTTGATAACTTCCTTAACCTTAATTTACGAAAATTGACCCCGATTTCGACTCTGTGCCACTTGGCTCTAAACATATCTTCTAACGGGTTCCCCAACCCATCACTAACACCGAAAGATGGTAACTCAAAGTTCAAATACGTGTACACCGATCACCTCGTTAAACGTGAAGCTGGGTTAGTGCCCTACGACGCGTTTAAAGTTACGACGCTAAAAAGTTCGGAGGATTCCGAGAGTGTCGAAGATCATGAATACGCGTTCAGCGATCTCGACATAGGCCTAGATGGCGTTACGCATACCGCCGACAAGTTGAAAAACGTGAACCTCTCGGAGCATCGACTCACTCCGCAACTCGAATCGAGGATTGACGATTCCACGACTTTGGAGACTGCCTTGCGATTTCTTAAACCAAAGGTGATTCATTCATTCATAATTGTCATTCCTTTGTCTATCAATGGAATTTAAAATATTTACCCTCCCTCCCCACCCGTACGAAGCCATCGAAAACGCATAAAATTAAAATTATGTATATATATATTTAATCGGAAGAAATCTTGAAATTTATGTAGAATCGGAAACTGAATTTTTTAGAACATTTTCGGGATTTAAATGTTTGGGATTTTATTTTTTGAAATCCGATCCACTCTAAAAATTTGAACTAAGTATTCGTGAATTCAAATTCGGGTTCAGAATGTAAAATGTTCGGTTGGGCATTTTGAGACCACGGACCGAACAGAGACCAATTTATGGCAACTCATCAAACCTGGGTTAGGTCCAGACCTCTCTCAGAAAATCGGTTTCGATTAAGTTCCTGTTATCAGATAATTCTTGAATCCCGGTTCGAAAACGAATACCTTTTTATTTATTTTATATCCAGGTTCCAAAAGTCTCTAAGCGAGAATTTCTAACCAGAGATTCAAATAACATTAATACAGACCTAATCTAACGATTTATTTATTATAAGTGTAACATACATGCGACTCAGCTGTATTCGATGTCATTTAACTATATTCTAAATTTTCAACGGCGATCTTCGATGTATGTACACCTTGTAAATGTAGATGAAGGAATCGTCACTCTATGTTAATATTGATATCATTGGCAAAGGCTCTATTTAGAAATCTATTTAGGCTCGGCCGGAATTTTTTTTTGTAACGAACATAAATAAGGCTCACCCAAGACCAAAGTAAATTCGGACCCCAGGAGGTTTTGGGTGGGTGCAGACTTTGCAGATCACTTGCGCTAATATTCTTACCAACACCGATCTAAATTAACTATTAACCTAGTGAAACAATTTATTGTTAAAAAAAAATTTATTTTTCTTTTAATCGTAATTATAAAGGCCCAAAATTGCGTTAAATTTTTTTTGTTGTGTTAAAGATTGCTAGTTTTAACGATTTATTTCGTCGTGCGCAATCTCGCGGAAATTTTTGATTTCGATCAATAATTTTATCGTTCCTTATTATTCCCTAAAAAGAAAATTCTAATAACGAATCATTCCTTTTCGATATAGTCTAAGAACCCGTTCGGGGTTGTATTCCAGTTCCAGAAAGAGGAGAGGAGTTCTGGCTTACGAACTCCCGATAAAATAGACACGAGAATTCGGGTAGCTATAAACTCCCGAATTTTTAAACCCCCAGTTTTATTTTAGCTTTATTTTGTTAATGTTCCCTCACGCCTTCCAATAATCATAATTGGTAAGATTCCAAGATTTCATTTGCAAAATTAATCAAGATCCACCGGGTTGAAATTGATTCAAGCAACTGCCCGATTTCTCAAATAATTCGAGTATGTACAATAAATTTAATTGCGCAATATTGTTAGCAATTTAGATCTCCAAAATCGTTCGAAGCGAAAATAACGCTCACCTTCAACGCTTGCGATCCGGGAGATCGATGCTCAAAGTGCGGAAATTTTCCTGTCCCTTCGCCTTTCGAACCCGTATACCGATTTTTCGGGTGGCACCGAACTAAAAACGTTTTCCGTCAAAAGAATCACAGTCATATTATATTATATCAAATCAATATTATCATATTTTATATTATATCGGAAAGAATTGTTTCGAATATTATGTCCTAAACGCTATTTTTTTAAAAAATATATATATAGGCGGACATAATACTCAGGAGCGCCATAAAGAACCGCAGTCGATGACGTTAAACTCTAGTCACCTCAAAATAAGAAACGATTCTAACGACATAAAATCCGCCTATCCCGACGAATCAATTGACTCCTCCAGGGTTCGGATTTTGTCCGTGCCTCCTGTCATAACTTCGGAAGAACGGTTGAATCAAGTTATCCAATCAAATATTATCACGTAACATTTTTTTTATTGTATTAACTCTTTTTTTTGAGAATGATATTCTACACTTCACGAGTAGTTGACGCGAGGTCGTGACTGTCACTCGACATTAAAAACATGCGTTTTTGTAACGGGAACATGAACATTTTTTTTTACTCGTTCAATTGAATATGATTGAAAATTGCCCTATTCTCTTTCCAATCCAGTTCACATAGCATCAAAATTGTCTATTCTCTCATTCCGAAACAGTTATAACCTCCCATGGTTATTTAATATACTCAATTCTTAAATACATAAAAGGAGCAAAATAATTATTTTACAGTCAGAGATCCAGAAGATTTTCGCAAGAATGAAATGACAAAATAATTCCTAAACATATGTTGAAAGCTGATTTAATTCATTAATTAGCATGTTGGTTTACACGACCCCATCTTGATAAGATTACACTTAAAAATCGTCGCGTTTTTTTTCAGTGAGGAATCCGATAAACTGGCCAACCAAGATAAGAATAATAAGATGGAGGGACTGAAAAATTATTTCCTAGTTTAGTTGCATTTAAATTTCCGCCTAAAAAGGTTGGATGTCAGAAAGGGCGTCCTATTGTAAAAACCTTTATGTACAAAATTTCCTAATGATTAAATCAGGGGGGAAAACTGGCCAACCCGAGTAAACCTGGAAATCGCCATTAAACGGAGAAGAAAAAGTATACTTTCCATGAGGATTGGTAGTAATAAAAAACACAAAAAAAAACAACGTTTATAAAAGGTTATATTTTATATGATGTAACAAATTCTAAAAAAAACATCTTTGGAATATTTGGAAATGATTTCTTTTTCTTGCAATGATTATTGTTGTCTTATAATTCTTTATAAAAAAAAATATGTTTTTTTGAAAATATTCAGCTGATTTTATTTTTGGTTAATCAATAATTTACTAAAAAAAATTTAAATCCACCTTGCGGAACTAATATTATAGATTTAACATATATTTCCTTTCCCATTGTTATATCTTTCAATGGTTAATATCTGCCCCCTTTATTTTTACCCTGCGACTCCTTCTCATTCTCCTGCCCCAAATTAAACTACACATCCATATCGCTATGATTACCGATGCTCCAAAAAAATATTATTACTGCATTTCCCAATATTTTACAAATTTCAATGTTTACTTATAAAAAATTAACTATCGCTTTTAACATGAATATTTTGACTATTTGTAAGGTTAAAGGATATGTTATTATTAATAAAGTGAATAATCCAAAAATGCACATATATATATAACCACAATTTTTCTCCCCAAAAAAAAATTAACTTATTTCCGATACTATGTTGTCAAGTTTATGTCATTAAAGTTTTATAATTCACTTATACGACGGTTTCTTCAATATCTCTATGCGCGGAAGGGGGGGGGTGGACTGGTAGCACTTTTGTTATGCTAAGTCACAATTTGAGCAGCATATCAGAGACCTGCATGGGTACCATTTGCAGGCCCAGTTTTTTTCTAAAAATAAATTTTTCAAGCCCGGCCCGGATTTTAAATCTCTTACATTTACTTTTGATTTTTATAGCCGGCCTGGCCCGGTTTTTTTTTAAAAAAAAGGTCTCTGATTTATATACATCTATTATCGCTAATAATTGGAAGCATGTCGATTTATTACAATATAAATAATCATGCTATTTTTACTGCGATAATTAATATATTTATATTTACTAAAAACAAAAACTAATAAATAAACACCCTATTAATTTATAATAGCACTAAATAACTCACATTTTTTCCCGCGATAATAAATTATAAAAACCGAATACCACAATAATATCGTTGCGATTAGTGTTGTTTAGGAGGCAACTCAGTATTTTGGCCAGAAAAATATTGCCTAAGACTCTAGATTTCGCTAAATAGATGTCCAAACTGTCGTGACATCTATTGAACAGAATCTTTGGGCTTGCGTAAAAAATTTTCTGGATAAAAAATATTGAGTTAGCCCTTTTTTAAAGATCGGCTCAAATCGAGCCGTTTAACAACACCAGTGACAATATATTTTTTTTCAACTTTAAATCATTTTTTTTGAGCGCGTTTTGAAAAATTTAAAAATCTGATATTGCAAGCTAAATGTATTCCATCGTGCTTGGGAATACCTTACTCTACGAATTTCAGACAATTTTCCCAAGATCTTTCTAACCTGATATATTTCAATAAGATAGATATTTTTAAACATCTGGAATATATTTCCGGTAAAATCAGATTTTTTGCAGTTAACATATATTATGTACTCTTTCTATAATTGATATAAATGATTATTCATTTTATGATGGTCTTTTTTTTTAAATAACTTAAATTCTTAAACAGTATATAAAGTATAAATATGAAATTGTAAATTAAATGTATCCAAAGTGAAGGATATTTACATATCCATCCCCTTTCTTTCAAGAATGGATAACCCAATATTTACCCAGAAATATTACGCGCGCTAATAGCGAAAAACGTGACAACATCCTTTCTTATTATTATTGTTAAACGGCTTGATTTCAATCATTTGTTTGAAAACGGAGGATTACTCAATATATTATCCAGAAATATTACGCAAGTGTCCCGAAGGTTTTGCTTTACAGATATGGCACAATTAACGGAATCTCTAAGCTTGGTCATTATTTTTATGGCTAAAATATTGAGTAGGCCCTTTATAAATATCGGTTCAAATCGAGCCGTTTAACAACGCCAATTCTGATTGTTCTTTTATATCAACCAAAATATGGTAGATTCAATATAAAAGATACGCTTCATTATACGGCCAATAAATTTCGCCGCAAATTTACGCGTTGTCGATTGGTTCATACGGTAACCAGTACAACTTCTTAAAACCGGTTTACAGGATCGCTCTCCAAATAGCATCAGAAACTACCGCCATTGAGATGGCGGTCTTATTTTCTTTCGCTATGGCGGTTTTTAGATGAAAGTTTTTAAATCTTATAAAAATTAAGATGCGTACAAAGCCAAACATTAATGTTAGCTAAACGTAAAACAACGGGGAAAAAAATTATTATATTAGGTTTAGCTGCTGGAATAAATTTCTTTCCCATACTTTCCCTTCCTCCCTCCCAACAAATAAAAACGCATATATTGAACATCTAACACTAACATATACTTTAAAATATACAAACGAATATATGTATAATAAAAATTAACTTTACTTCCCATTAGGCCTAAAACGAATTATTTGTTATTTGATATTCGATTCGTATTTTACGAATACGAATAACACAATTATTCTATTCAAAATCGAATCGAATATGAATAATGAGGAAAATTATTCGTATTATTCCAAATTATTTATATATAAATATTCATAATTATTCGCAAATATTTTATTGCAAGTAAAATAAAAAGAAGTAATTAAAATTTCCTAGTGGATATCATTTCGTTTTATTTTATTTCCTATTATCAAATATCAAATCATAACAAGTTATATTTGCTGAAAAAGTTTAATGGAAGAAAAGGGAAAGCTTCAAAGTAAAATATAATTATTTTATTTTGATTGTTTCTCTTAAATCATTTTTGATGTTATTGAACAAGTCAAAACATTTTTATAGAGTGTGCCTCTTTCCCATATTCTCAAGCTCCTGACAGATAAATAACTAAATTTTTTTGACTAGTTCTTATTATTTAATTAGGAAAATCCTTTTCCCATTTAGTAACCTTATTTTTGGCAAATTTTAGACAATCTAATTCAGATAGTGCATTATAATATCTTCATCCTCTATTACATTTTCATAATCACTTCTAAAAATTATATTAATAATTAAATAAAGGAAATTTATGCTACTAAAGTATTTTTATATATTAAATAAAATCTATAATGAAATACTTTCTAAAATTTTGTTATATTTTATATGCAAATATTTAAAATGTAGATATTTTAAATAGATTATAATTTAAAAAATTTTATTTTGTCATAATCACCTTCACCTCTAACTAATAAAATGATATTAATAAAAAAATAAATACATGATTAAATAAAGGAAATATATGCTACTAAAGTATTTTTAATAAATAAAATCTATAATGAAATACTTTCTAATATTTTGTTATATTTTATATGCAAATATTTAAAATGTAGATATTTTAAATAGATTATAATTTTAAAAATTTTATTTTGTCATAATCACCTTCACTAAATATTTTTTTATAAGCAATTCTAATTCTAAAAATCGGATATTTTGGTCAATTTGTTTGGTTAACGTTATATGAAATCATTGGGTTTTATTTCGTTTATTTTCTATAAATTTTTATATTTTAATGACAATTAGTTTAAAGAATCCTTAAAAATGTCATCTTTAAACATCTGTAAAATTTTTTTTGCAAAATATTTTATAAGCTTTAGAAAAATTTTCGAATCGAATCGAAACGAATAATGATTTTATTATTCGTACGAATACGAATAGCGCAGTTATTCGATTCGTTTTTTTGTAGGCCTATTTCCCATGAATTAGCTTAATCTTTACGATCATGATCATATGAACATATATTTAAGTATATACAAACAATATCCAAAAATCCATCAACAAAATAACATCTGATCTTCTGTCTTACATTCATCCTCCAACAAAAACCAAAACTAATTCCAACTATCACTTTTGATCGACATTCCATATATATCATTATTTCAATATATGACAAAAATACTAAACTACAACAAATTGAAAAATAACAAATAGTTCGCTCTTCGTTTACTACCATTTTCTAGGGAACTCGGGTGAAGTAGCTATCCTTTTTTTAAAAAAATCTTAGGCTTAAAGCTAAACAACAATCACTGAAGATCCTAAAGAAATTTTTTTTTTAACCTTAAACAAAGAATATCTCCTCGAGATATGCAGATTCTATTTTCTCTGTTCTATCCCAGACAATATTTAAAATATATTCTTTTGAATCCACCCCACACCCCCCTCCCCTCAATCCTCTTTTATAAGTTTTAATTTTTTTTAACAAAAAATAATGCGGTTATTTTTGAAAATTTAAAATAAAAATGCTAAAAATAATGTCGCCCAAATTCATTTACGGTTAACAAATTGTAAGTGTGGTTTGTATTTATCGCGCCGGAAAAAAGTCAGCGATATCGCGCAACGAAAAACGTCGCGAAAGTGGGATATTTCTACCTATGGTAGTAGGCGCGCGAGACGCTTCTCATGTCGGGATCCAATTTTTTTCCCTACGTTCATCTTTAAAAAGGGGAAAAAAAAATTAAAATCCGAGTAAATTTAAAGCTTATTGGGCCTGATTTTCAAAATGGGGGCGAATCTTTCCCAAAATTATATTTTCTGCAATGAGCCGATTAATCAACTCGAGCGATTTCAATGACTGGGTCTTTTTAGCCGGAAGTGGTTTTTGAGTTAATTAGAGGATAAATTTCGTGTTCCCTACCCTTCTCTCCTATCAAATTTATCTATTAATAATTATATAATTTTTTGTTATATATATATATTCATAACAATAATTTATATATTAAAATCAGTCTGTCCGGGCCTACTTTTACAGAGAACTTATTAATTACATTTTATTTCATTTTTTTTTAAAAACAAGTCATACCTCGGGGATGTCCAATCCTTCCCCAACACAACTACCCGATGATAACATGTACGAAATCGTAGCTTGCGACGTGAACACCATAGATATTGATCTCTTGCCTCTCACTCAAACTTTTACGAGTAATCCCTCCGAGGAAAAAGGTTCGGTGAATCCCGAAGAATCCTTAAAAATTTTATACGACGTAAACGTGGTTAAAGCCGCTTCGATCGCGAAACCCAGTTTAGCGGAGAATGAATCAGCCAATCATTTTATTCGGATAAAAATTTTGCCAGAATGCTTCAATATTGTAACATAAGATATTTGGAAATAATTTTGCAAACTTTACAAAAATCACTGAAATTATTGATCAAAATTGACTTATTATAATAAATTATTATTGTCAATTGTCATTCAAAATTTTTAAATTTGTATTGACTTTGCAATAAATTATTATTGGGCTAACGTCTCACATTATGTATTATTATTTTTGAAATATTAGCATTCAATTCTTATTTTACGAGTAACGAAAATATTCCAATTAAATATCAATAATAGTATCGATTAAATTATTCAATATAGTTCCTTTTTAATTAAACAATTTAAATACATTTTTGGTCAAGTTTTGAAGTAGTAAATTTTTCAATATTTTTTGTAAGCCTGATTGGTTGAGTTTTAAATATACATAATCAAAACAAATTTCTATAGACATGTGTCATTTGATTTGATGTCTTTCTTAAAATATATAATAGTTCCAAAATTTTTACTAAAGAAGAGATAGAGAGAGCAAAAATTGGATATTATTTTCAAAAAGTCAAGAAAATGATATTTGCATTTAAGATTTTAATAAAATTAAATTAATTGGATCTTATTTAAATGTATTATTGGTAACAATGAATTTTTTATTTGGAAATAATATATTTTATTTTGGATCACCTATCTTTAGCCAACCTCCAACACTGGCTTAGCCATATTTCCTATTAAAATTCATCTCCCCAAAGTTAAGGCTTAATTTAGAAATTTAAATCTCTTAGACTATAAGCTTAGTTTAGGCTAAGTGGACTTGTCTACAGGTCTTATAACAACAGTATTTGTAATATAATTATAATTTCACATTTGTCGTAGGGGGGCCGGGAACTTGTTATGGTCTATTATAATATGAGAACGATTTTGATAGTGACACGATTATATATAGTATGTTGTTTTATTTAAAAATTAAGAATTTAATTTTTTAACAATTAACGTTTAAACCCAAAAATTAATATCATATAATATCCAATTGTCAAGTCACAAATAAAATAAAAAAAATAACGACATAAACAATGATATATAAACATTAAAATGTAAATTGAAAATAAAATATTATTTTACAATATTTACAATCATGTAACAACACTTTATATTCGCTCTTCATTCGTGACATTCATGTCGGATAATTGATTGTGAATATCAGAGTCGTTAAAAGATACCTTTCATGAATCTAGATATAGATACAATTTTTATTGTATTTGTAAGTTGTGCATAACGCTTAATTTATGATTCTATTGTTAAAATTAGTTTAAAAATTTACTGAACTGATATATCACTAATTGAGTTAATGATTGTTTGATTTTAATAATTCATATACGAAATTTATAAATTATAAATAAATTTTATATTTTAGCAATATAAAACATCCTCAAAATTTTAATCATATGACATTTTTAGCCATACTAAACCCTTTCTACCTGGGCACTTGACGGCAGATTGGTTGTTATATTTAATGAATAATAACTTTATTTTGGAATAATCAATAAATATATTGAGATCTCGATATTCAATCTTTATAAAAATCATTCAAAATTTGACGAATGTCAAAACTTATATCAATATTTATACCATCTAAGGATTGACCAAATATCAAATTATTTGACTACTTTTTCAGAGATTGTTTAGAAATATTGTTTCTAAAAATTATGATTTACATTATCTTTAAATTAATATAATAAGTTAAATTATAGTATATACCATTTGGTCGTCATTAGTGTTGTTAATCGGCTTAGCCGAGTCGTCGTCATTATTTTTATGTTCCCTGAACCCGGACCAGAACCTGGACCCGGGTCTTTTAAATTTATTACCTGTACCCGAAACCGGACCTGGTCCCTTTTTTTGTCCAAGGGTTCACATCCCTGCTTATCACCCTAAAGAAGAGTGAATGCTTATGCTTGTAGTCTTGGTTGAAAGAAGAAAAAATATAAATCTCAATTTTATACTAGCTATTTTTTTTAAATATAATATTTGACACTACGATAAAATCGCATCAATATAAACGGTATCATTTGAAACTCATTTTTTAATTATTTAAGCGAGTGGTCAAGATTCGCAATTCGTACTCACTATTACACTTTTTAGATTGAATATTATGAAATAATCGATATCGATCAATAAAACTGCCAACAACATCTGTTTTGAAAGTTCGCGAACGCGATACGAGATTTTCATTTATTCGGGACTCTCAACACATTTAAATATGACCATAATAATATAAAATAAACATTAATTTTAAGTTTTAAAAAAAATTAATTTTAACAATAAACGCCATCTATCGGACAAATCTATATTGGATTAATTGTAAAATAACTTTTGGTGCCATAGTAATATATAATAAATTGTTTATTTTTTCTGAATAATAAATAAATAAAAATAGTTTTACCTAATAATTAGAATATTTGAATTTTATTTTGTGCCCGTAAATATTTGATTGCAAGTATAAAAAAAATTATGTGCCAAGTGGAAGATATTTCATTATAATAACTATATAGACATACGGGACACCAAAATTAGAAAGACATAAGGATCAAATTCCAAAATCTACTACCTTGAAAAGGGGGTACATGTTGTATTATAATTGTTACATGTTTGTAACATGTAATTTTTTTTTGTATTAACCAATGACATATATAATACCTAGACTGACGATTCATTCATTCATTAAAAGTGTACATAGATGCAAATCAGCTGGAGACTCCATCTTGGTTACACTAATCGTTATTAAAATTTTAAACGAGAGCCTAATTTATTCCTATATCCGATGCAAACTTTATTTAAAGAATTTCCGGATCATCGAGATAATAAGGAAGCGAGTTATCAATTTAATAGTAGTTTTTAACATGTGAAAAATTACTATATGGTGTTACCAAAATGGCGGGTCCAGCTGATTTGCTTTTATCGACGCTTTATCATTCTAGGTATTATATATGTCATTGATAGTAACATTTTTTATTGTATAAGGTTTAAGGCGATATATTATATTGTAATGATATATTTTATGTGTTGTAAATTGGATAACGTAATCAAAAACAATTGATTTACGTTATATATGGTGAATTCCATATCAAATCAATTAAGGTTTCAACCCGACCCCCTTCAATTTTTCTTAAATTTTGTATACTGGTAGTATATACTATAACTAAGAAAAAAGTAAAATTTTACCTTCCAAAACTGTTTATCCGCTAAGATATGGCCGTTTAAAGCCGCGGAAAAATGGTTCATTTTTTACAAAATGCACCTCATTAATTTTCAAATATCTTGAGAAATAATTAAGTTAGAAAAATAATTTAAATTTTATTTTGTAGCTTAATAAAAGTTCTTTAAAATGACATAAAAATAAATATGATAGACTTTTGATTAATATCGAAAACCGGATGTGTAAAACCAGAAATGGCCATAGAAAAAAAAAGTATTTTTTTTTCAAATTTTTTTTTCTGTAGTTAGATATCACACTGCTTTATATTTGTATACAAAATCCTAGACTAGAATCAACATGGGTTTAGGAGTTATCACTCTTTATATGGCTAAAATTGAACAAATTTAACATTAATATCATCATATTTTAATTTAATGAATAGTTATGAAATAATGTTAATTTAGAAATTATGTGTAAATGATAGGCCTTTACTTTTTTTTATCTTTATCAAAATTTTTGAGAAGTGGCTGGAATAATGAGCTTTGCTTAACACTTTAGTTAAATTTTGTCTCAAAGTTAATTGACAAAATAATTCTAAACATATTTATAACTTTATTTGCCTCAAATTGCATTACATATAATACAATCAAAAATTTATAATTAAAATATATCATATATTATAATCATCCAAGGAATTTTAATAAATTATGACTTTAGGAACTTTGTGTTATAGAAATTCTCTTTGCTCTCAAAAATCTGCTTTCAAGATGACTTTCTATGTTCATATATTCATTATTACTCACAGATATAATTTACCCCATAGATATTATTTCTTGCATAGTTAAATAAATCTATTGTTGTCAATATGCAGGGTTTCGAACCGTTTAGTATAACGGTTCGCCGGTTATTATTTTAAAATTTTATAAAGGTTTTGTTCCATTTCGGTTTTTAAAAAAAATCATATCGGTTCGGTTCGGTTTATAATTTATAACGGTTCTTTTCGGTTTTTATAAATTTAATTTAAAAAAAAATTAATCATTAACCATGTATATATTAATTTTAGAGAAAAATCTTTTTTTATAATTTCTTATTTAATTTATCCATGATAATCTAATAGATATTTTTATTAAATTTAGGAAATATAAATTAGACAAATTAGTTTTTTTTTATTTCATAAATAAATAAGATAAAAACAAACATGAGTAAATACAATAATGAATAAAATAATATGTATACTATACTATTTAGGTTTAAAAAGAGAATTCGAACGGATAACTAAAATATTTTCTAATATTTCAGGATTTAATTTAGTTCTCTGCGCAGAGAGTATAAACTTAAGGCTTGAAAATGCTCTTTCTACGGAGACCTGCGTAGCTGGAACTGCTAGCACAGTTATAGCTAACTTATAAAGTTCTGGCATACTATTCTTTACATTTTCCCAATAATTCAAAAGATTAGTATCTTTTTCTAATCTCTCTATATTATCAAATGACCGAATTATATATTCTATTTCTATACATTTATTATAATTTTCGATGCCCTGAGAATTATTCTTATTAAGATTTTCATGCGACTTTAATAAATCTTCAAAATCATCATCTAAATTATCCTTCGAATACGAACACGTAGGCATAGTATTTAGAATTTCAATATTCTGATTATTTAGAATTTTGTATCAAGTTCCAAGTTTTACAAAGATGTTTTCTGGCGATCTCTCTTTCTTCAAAAGTTAAAAATACATTATATCTAGGGTCGAGATAAATAGCAGAGCAAAAAACTTCAGTTTTAAAATTTATTTCTCGTGCTTTCATCGTAGAAACTAAAAGTCTGGCAAATGGAGTGTCTACTTTACTCGTTTGCATGAGACATTTGATCCACGCAGCATAAAAATCGCCCATTGTCAATTGTTCACTTTGTAAATATTTTGTCAAAACATAAGCTGGATATAAAGCTTTTAATATGTCACTAATTATTTTCCATTCATTCTCTGATA